CAAAGAAGGGTGGGCGATATTTAAAAAAATACATTTATAGTATAGAGTATGTAACTACAAAGAAGGGTGGGCGATATTTAAAAAAATACATTTATAGTATAGAGTATGTAACTACAAAGAAGGGTGGGCGATATTTAAAAAAATACATTTATAGTATAGAGTATGTAACTACAAAGTTTATAATACAGAATTCATAAAACCCTCGACCGATTTGCCTTAAACTCTGATTGAAGAACTCAGTAGAACCAACAGAAATGTTCTCAGCCTGGCTTAAAAGTTCCCAAGGGTAGTATTTATAAAATAATATAAGTTTTCAACAGAAAATTCGCATTTTTATATTTCTATAAATAAAAAATAGTTTGGTAATTTTTTTTGAGGTATTGTAAAGCACATACGACAAGTAACATAGAAACTTAAAGTAAACAATAAAAACTTATCTTATATTTAACCCACAATGGAGAGTGGGATGAGGGGGGGGGGTTTGCGGTTGAAATGTTGTAAAAAAAATATTTTAGTCTAACAGGAATTGTCATCAGTATTCACACATATTTGCGTGAGAAGAGATAAGAGAGATATTGAGAGAAAACAGGGAAAACTTGGACGATATTTATTTCTCGGGAAAACTGACCAGGCCAGGTAAAAGATAGAAACTTATTTTATGTAATAATAGCTAAAGTGCCAGGCGCGGCGTTGTCCGTGGAGTTAAAGAAATACTTAAAAGTCAAAGTATGAATATAAACTTTCGAATTTTAAAAAAGAAAATCTAATTTTTTAAAGCTAACGTTACCCAAGAGTTACTCAAGGGTTCCCTCAAAAAAGTTTAGCAATTTGGTTCGTTTGGCCAGCTATAGCTAACACATGAATATATATATTAAATCATCGTGCATTGGCTTTCATTAGTCTATATAATAAAGCTCTTCACTCATATATATGTATGTTTTAATTAATAGATCACTTTATCTTTCCTGATTACTCGCCACAAAATCTTTTTTTTCTAATAACTTTATCTTTGTATCCTGATGATCTTTTATATTTCAATCTTATGAATTCTGTAAAGTACAATCAGTTGAAGTTTGAAATATCAGAGGTTTACACCATCAGGTTGCAAAGATGTGGCAAGTAATCAATTCCTTTATCTCTATTTAAAGAATATTAATTTTACATCTAGAGATTATAAAACAATAAAACATTCTATTCGTACTTTGTCGCCATACTTTTTTTATTTTCTTTTTTAATTAAATGTAAAAATCTAGAAATTAAATTTTAATTGATATATCGATTCATTAACTTATACATATTCTTGCATTCTTTAGAAAATTAACCATCATTTCTATGTTTAAAAAAGTTAAACCTTATGAATCAAAAGAATAAGTCTAAAAGGTAACAGACTCTAGTAGACATA